TAGATAGATAAAATGACAGAGAGAGAGAGAGAAATGAAGAAAAACACACACGTAACTGGAGACATACAGACAGACAGAGATAACCAACTCAAGGACGCCGCTGCAGTTACCACACAAAAACAACTGAGCGTCAGAGATTCAACGCAGAAAAAAATACAAATAAAACACACATAAGTAAACCACAATAAGAAAAAGAAGAAACACCCAAGATAACAAAGAGAGAGATGGAGGAAGACACGACTAAATCGATGAAGACAGAGTAGATGTAAACAAAACTATATAATATTGATAAGTTTGTTTTGGCTTCAGTGTTGCACAGTGTAGTGAGATCACAGCTGATGTCTGCTCTGGCTGGCTGGCTGGCTGATGTAAATATACGTTTCCTGTCTGGATTACACACACACACACTCACACTCACACTCACACTCTCTCTCTCTCTCTCTCTCTCTCTCTCTCTCTCTCTCTCTCTCTCTCTCTCTCTCTCTCTCTCTCTCTCTCTCTCTCTCTCTCTCCTTCCCTCTCTCTCTCACCCTTATCTCCCTTCCAAACCCGCACTCCAATCTTACCAGTAAATCGTTAAATTAGTTCCTTCCCTCCCCCCTTTACTCGCTCCTTACCCACCCACCACTCCCTCCACCCACTCCTTCTCTCCCAACCATGACCATCTTCCTTCCCTCCTTCCTTCCCTCCCTCTTTCCCTCCCTACAACTCACACCTATTTCCTTTCTCCCGATTTTCTAACCTCATACCTGGCCCTGATGGTAACCCTTTGTTGCTTCAGGGGGCGGAGAGACTCAAGTGAGGGAACCATGTATGTGAGAGACTATTGTTCCTCATCCCGTAGCTGTAGTGAGAAATACGATGAGGAAAAACCCATGTGAGAGACTCGTATGAATAAACTTGAGTGAGAGACGATTGTTTCTCACTCACGAACAAGTTGAAAAAATAACCCCTATGAGGAACTAATAAGCGACTTCACAGACAGACAGACAGACGTATCTCTCACCCACACAGATAGGCGAGGGTGAGGAAAGACCCATGTGAGAGATACTAATGAGAGACTCGTGAGAGAGACAGTCCAATCATACACTTGACTGTGAGGCGTCAACAAGTACTTAAGGGTGTCCATTTTTTCCACTTATTATTATTATTATTATGATTATTATTATTATTTTTATTATTATTATTTTATTATTATTATTATTATTATTATTATCATCATCATTATTATTATTATTATCATTTATTATTATTATTATTATTATTATTATTATTATTATTATTATTACATTTTCGCCCCCCGGACCCCGCTGTGGGTCAGTGACCTGTGCCCGGGTGGACTAATCCCAGTAAAAAAAAAAGTAGGTCTCTACATTCAGCACCAGAGACCGGTTCGTGAGATATTTCGAACATGAAGATTTTCTCCCGACCCGAGGTAAAATAATGAAATAGCTAACTGATCCACTTAAATTACCCCACGAAGATGATAATCTAAATGTCATACAAATTACGCCGAGATTCTACTGTAATTGGATAAGTTCTCTTTATGTTTAGTTAAGGGAAAGTAATTACGGACCCACAGACTTAAACACGTGAAAACAGACAACGACAAAACGAGAATATTATGTAGAAACTAGGAGACATCTGAATGATATCGTACCAGACATCAAAATTAATAATATACTTTATTGTCCAACTAAAGTCAACATAATTAATTAATTACGTAAAGAGACAAGTAAAAAGCAAGCAGACACAAGAAACCAAAATACGAGAGACGGCTGGGGAGCTCAGACGGCCATGACGGAGGGCAGAGTGGCTGACATAGAGGAGTTTGTTTACCTTCTCTCGCGGCTCTCACAACAAATGCCCCGCGCCTGTCCTCACTAATGTATCTTGAGGTGGCCTGTGTCCCTGATAATGTATCCTATAGTGCCGCCCGTGTCTCTACTAATGTGTCTTGCGGTGGTCTGTGGCCCCATTAATGTATCTTATGGAAACCTGTGTCCCCCCTTATGTGTCTTGTGGTGTCCTGTGTCCCAATTAATGTGTCTTGTGGTGGTCTGTCTCTTTTATAATGTATCCTGTAGTGGCATGTGTCCCCTCTAATGTATCTTGTGGTGGCCTTGGATAATATTCTCAAAGTTTCGTATTAAATTTCACACCTAATTTAGCAATATGAGAAATATCTTACTGGCTAACTTCAGAGGCTTAAAAAAATATTGCCAGCTAACATTACACTGAGACTGCACAGTAGCCAGATGTATTGTCAGCCCCAGATAGAGAGAGATCTGGGGAGTGTAGGAACCTTTGAGAATTCGGGAACTCTTTCATTGGGAACTTTATCTTGGGTGAACATAGTGTAGTCCTGTGTTATGAGGAAGGGTGAGGAAGGGATGGGATGGGAGGGGAAAGTCAAGAGGCAGTGGTTTAACGTAGAACAAGGGTAGTGGTTGTTTACTTGCCCCCCCCTCTCTCTCTCTCTCTCTCTCTCTCTCTCTCTCTCTCTCTCTCTCTCTCTCTCTCTCTCCGTACAAAACCGCTAAATAAGACTTCTTAAAAAATAGCTTGTACAGACGATACAGAAGTTACAGTCTGATCTACCGAGAAATAATTACCTCAAGTCGGAATAACATCCATCACAGATCAGGACGGGCGGTTTACTCAGCTGGTTGATCGTGGCTACAGAGACCTCCATTACATAAGAAAATAAGGAGTCTGCAATAGGCCGGTTGGCCTGTGCATGGCAGCTCCTGTCGAGAGTTACTACCACTCTCTATCATCCATGAATCTATCCAGCCTCCTTTTAAAACTTTCCAGCGTTCCAGCACTTACTACAAAGTTGCTAAGCTTGTTCCACTCGTCCACCACCCTATTTGTGAACCAGTTCCTTCCTATCTCCCTCCTAAACCTGCCCACGATGACGGGGAAGTGTGTGTGTGTATGAGTCAATGTGTCTGTATGCAGTTATTACATATGTACAGCAAAGTGCATAATTCATGTTTGCGCACTTGTTCATACACACACACACACAGCGCTTGTTCCTGTATTATCTCTCCACCTTGTAATCTGATTCCCACATCGCTGAGGTGACTCCCCGCAGGCTGTGTCTCGTTAGCAGGTCATATATTTCAGTGTCGGGTACAGGAGGAAGGCCATTACTGTTAATGTTAAGCATCTCGTAAAACTTTCATTGCAATTCTCCCAAGAGGCGTTATTTTGGTATCACTTCCATGTCAATTATATAAAATCTATTATTATCTGCCAAATTATATTCTTTTCTCTGTAACTATTTAATAAGAGTATTTTGAGGAGAAGGAAGATTATTATTTATATCATCATTGGCATCTCAGTCCGTCGTGGTCAGCGGCGGTGAGGTCACTGAGGTGTTCCATGTGGCCAACTGGCATCTGCTCGCGAGGTTTTATTGGCTGTTGGTGACGTCATATAACACGTGATTGGCTGTTAATGATGTCATAACACTCCGGGAATAGTTGCTTATGACATCATTATCTTTAGTGTTGAATGTTAAGAATGATGTAAAAATATTTTATGTGTTTGTTTTGTCACCATTGCGATATATGACGTAAGTGTCCAAGATGATTAAGATGTGGTTAATTTAGTCCTTTTGAGCTTTAATTAATTCCAGTTAAAGTAATTGATTATTTAATGTGTATAAACTATTTTAATTATTTATTTTCTTTTATAATTAGGATATAGCGTTAGAAGGCGATAATTAAATACAATAATTAAATAAAACAAAATTAATGATACGAAATCTCTTCACGGTTTTTCTAGTCACTTTCTCTTTCTCTTTTCTGTGTTGCTTTCTCCTACTTTCAGCCTCGCTTGATTTTCCCTTCAATTTATTCCTCTGTATGTAATATTCTCTCTCTGTCTTTCTGTGTACCGCCAAATCTGTCTGTTTTTCTGTTTCTCGAGGTTTGATATCAGGACATACTTACATACATACATACATACATACATACATACATACATACATACATACATACATACATATATATAATATTTAGATGGTAAATTTAAGGTTAGAGAGTCTTAAGTTGGATTATTTTTACTTGGAATACACCTGGAAAAATAAATCAGGTTATATAACAGTGATTGTACAACGACGCCATCTTATTTGTGGTGTAAGTTATCGTATTTTATGATATAATTATGTACTCAAGGATTAAATTACCACTATATGTTAGAAGACGTAGATATTTATTCGAGGAAAATTGTTACTTGGTGCCGGACAGTATAGAGACCAGCGTTGGGGTTGGGTTAGGTTTATCTGCTTGGTGGTGGTCAACGAATATCCCCTCCGAGCTCACTGCATTCTTGTGTTGATTTCTTTGCCTATGGACAATCACATTTATACCCAATGGACTTAAGTTCCATTTTCCTCTACTGTCACTTAACCTCTCTCAGCGTCGGTCAAGCGTAAAAGGCCATTTCTACCGCTGGCTGCCCGGGCCATTCACAAATTTATGTGAATAGGGGTGTGATTGTGGAGATTAGCATTGGTGTCGAGATTGGGAGATTGGTGGTGGTAAGATCATGGTGTGTGAAGGTTAATGGGAGGTGAGAGACAGCCAGAGAGAATGAGAGATGATTGGGGAGTGTGTATATGCATCTGTGCTTTTTGTTGTATGAATTCTGTTCTTCTCACTTGTCAAAGGTGGTAAACAAAGTACTCTCTTTAATCCTATGTTATTTGTTGTCTCCTTTTGTCATTAGAGATATAAATACCCAATAAAGAGCAACAGTTCAATGTTTAAGCATGTTATTATTACAGGACATTATATATTTTGAAGAAATATTAGCACACTCTTGAGGACTTATGACCCTTCGGCAGAATGGTCCACAGTTCTTAATGATGCTAGCATTGTGTAGAGACAAATTCATCCTCTCTCTCATCCTAACACAATCTACTCACTAAATAAAGATAAATCACCTTAATCGACCTCGAGGCTCACACTCTTCTGTTTGTGTTGCAGGAACCAACCAAGATGCCGTCAGGCAAGTCACTCAACGTGGTCCAGAGAGAAGGTTTCTTTGACGATGCGTTTTTCAAGGAGGCCTGGGAGGACTTCGACCGTGCTGTCCAGTCTGTTTTGGACAAGTTTGACAACACAGGACTCAAGGTGAGCCTTACCGATTTCACGTAAATCCTAGTCCGTTGTGGTTCTTCTGCTATTAGTTGTCTTAAGTGCCAGTAGACACAGTAAACATATGTACATTTAAAAGTCCCAAAAGTATTACCTTGCCAACACTGAGCTCCTGATAGGACCTCTGTAGTGTACTGCACTGTAGTTAGAATTTTTTCTCTCCACCTCTTATCATTTTCATCTTCTTTCTTCACCTCCTCTTCCTTTTCGTCTTCTTTAATCTCATCCTCATCAGTCTTCTGTCTTTTCCTTCATTTTCTCCTCATTTAGTATAAAAAAATACTTTTAATACTGTAATTGCTGGCACAGTAGAGTACGTTTGAAGGAATAGATGAAACTGATGACTGTGCCTTTCCTTATTTTTTCAGTGATTAATCCTTTAATGACTTTGGTACTATGCAGGTAGACCAAGGCTCCAGGACAGAATGCCGTGATGTGTACAGCAAGATCCGTACCAGCAATATCGACCAAGACCTCTATGCCTCTCAAGCCCTCCAGATCACAGAGAAGGATGGAAAGTTCCAGGTAGGTCTTACTGAGTATCCTTGTAATCAACCCCAGTTATGACAGCAGATCCTCAACAGCTGAAGACAGTGTGGTGACCTTTGATAGTCATCTAACGTAAAATTTGCTGATTGTAGACCTGTTCTTATGCCTTTCTATAGACTACACCAGAACATGGGGGGTTAGCCCTTCCTATCAGTCTGTACATCTGTGTTAAATGTAGCTTTTGTTCAACAACTTGAGAAAGACGACTTATATGGAAGTGAGATTTGGTATACAGTACAGCTTCATATACAGTATACAGTATATCAAAATTGACGATGATTATTATTCATTATTTTTTAACTCTGACAGCTACAACCCTTTGTTGGACTCAGAAATTTTAGAAGGGCCTAAGATCAGCTTCATTGAATGTCTAATAGTTTATTTAATGCAGTATTTTAAGTAGCCATTCCTTTAGATATTTAATGATGTTCCTCTCATCATATCTTCATATACCTCTCAGATGATGAAGATATAATACTGTACATATTATTTTACTGTTATTAGTTTAAAAAAGTCTGCCGATGTTATTACAGTAGCAGCTGTAAGTAATTATGATTCAGACTTGTTTAGCTACATGGGATCACTGACCATCTTGTTGGCATGACTAATCACTCTTAAGTAGGATAATCTACCACACACTGAGCAAACCAGTGCCTGTGGGATGAAACTTGAAACTTTTTATAAACAGCTTTTGTTATGCTTTCCCTCTGTTATCATTTGTCTCGCTACCATGTTTGCTCAGTGCCCCTGATTTCTTTCACTGTGATTTGGGTTCAAAATTAATTGTAAAGAAGATTAACAAATGTGAGATGTGATTGGGAGCCACACAGTTACAAGCAGAGGTGATACTGCACAATGTACAGTATATTGTTACATATTTTAATCACCGTACCCCTGTACTGTACTGTACTCAGGCTGCCTCTTTCATACGCATTTCAAAGTAAGAATTGTTCCAAAACACAATTTAATGATCTCGATAAAAAACAATTTGGTGAATTATTTGTGGTTTTGTGTTCATTCAGTATTACATTAGAATTTATCCATTGATTTTACATTTAGGAGATGTACTGTACATGTCTACTGGGTATCTTCTGTAGAAAATTTATAATTATGTTTGTACATGGTATTGTTTTTAATAAGTAAATAAATGTGCATTTATAGCACAAAGAGAACTAAACCTCTGTGTTGGTGCTCCTGTAGGCAGTGATGGATGTGAAGGACTTCAATCCTCGGGAGCTGCAGGTCCGAGCTGTAGACGAACGGATTGTGGTCGAGGGATCCTACCAGAAGGTTTGTGCTCTACACGTGTTGATTTGTTGTTTACAGGAGAGAACACTTTATATTGTCACCTCATGGTACTGCAGTTCCACTTTATTACCTCAACTTTATACCTAAATATGTACCTCTGCTTATATTTGAGTAATGTTGCTGTATATGTATCACTTATTACTTTATCAAATCATTGGTTGGATCCAGGTCTCTGAGGACGGAAGCTCATTGTCACACAAGTCATTCTATAAGGAGTTCGCACTGCCTCCAGCTGCCGACATTGACCAAGTGTCCACAGCGCTCTCTAAGGATGGTGTTCTTACTATCAAGGCACCAAAGAAGGTACAGTAATATATGATTCAAGTTTATACAACATTCACATAAAATGGAGAGTGTAACTCACTTTCTTTTAGGTTATTTCAGGTTGTGTTTTCTGTAAGTTACCATAGTTAGTTAATGAATTTTGTAAGGGCTTCAGCTACTAAAGATGAATTGCCTCCTTCCTTGTTTCTGTAGTACATGCATGTAATAGTACAAGAGCCATTTATATCTTCAACACACTAAGTGACAGGAAATGAACTGCTCAACTTACCTGACAGATCAAGTCTCTTCACAAGTCTCCCTAAAAAGATTCCTTTATTGGTCACGTTTTCACTCCTAGTAATGATTGTTATTAAGATTTTATGCAATGTAATATAAAACTTTATATTGGTGTAGTACATAATTTTGATTTTTTTTTTATATGTAACTCGAGGCTCGAAATGCTGAGAATTGTATTACAATATTTACTCATTTATTATTTCCCGGTAGTCATGTACATTTTTCAATAACTTAACAGGATGGTGCTGCAATTACCGAAGGTCCCAAGACAAGCAGCAGCAGCAGCTCAACTTCCAATGTCCAGCAGTCTTCTTTTAATGATGGTAATTCCACGTCCTCCTTTAAAAGTTCCTCCTCCAAGTCTGTTATGCAATCATCATCCAGCTTTGAAAGTTCCACCACTGACGGACTTGAAGGCTTGCCAAAGGAGATGCGGGAGAAATTAATGTTCTGTGACTCAGGATTTGGATCAACCAAGACCAGCACCTGCTCCTCCCCAGCACCTAGTGAAGCAGGCTCAGAATCTTCTCGTGTTTCCTCCACCATGGAATTTGATTTAGCCAAGAAAGCTCCCATGCGTTCCGAAGTGGCATTTAATGTGACGAGTCCAAACCAGCCAACACCACCTCCGATATTCCAGCAAACCCCTCAACCAGCGCACCAACAACCTCCTCAACCCCAACAGTATCCCCAAACTCAGTTCCAGCAACCACCCCAGTCCAGATTCCAGCAACCACCCCAGCCCCAATTCCAACAGCCCCCTCAGCCCCAATTCCAACAGCCACCTCAGCCTCAGTTCCAACAGCCACCCCAGCCCCCACAGCCTCCCCATTTCCAACGACTTCCACAATTCATGCCTCAACTACTTCCCCAGAAAATTTTCCAGCAGTTTCCTCAGTCTGCTGCACAACCAGATCTTCAGCCGATGACTAAGACAGCACCCCAGGTTCCTCTTGCTCCTTTACAACCAGTTGGAAAAGGGAATCAGACTACTGTAAATATCTCGGAAGAAAATGGTCGACGAGTCCTTACTTCTCAGACATCCAGCGTGGTGCAGGAGAAAGATGGCTTTATGGAGCACCGAGAGACTGCTGCTGAAATCGGTGACAAAGACAGCCAGGCTGCCCGTCGTGAAGCAACCACCAAGATGACTCATCAAGAGGAAGATCCAGAGGGAAAATTCAAGCGTTCTGAAGCAGCTGATGCCGCTGAAGTGAGTGAATCTTGCGTCCAGCAAATGCCTGACGGCTCTGTTATGTCTGTAAAGAAGAGCTCAACTTCCTCATCGTCTGTCAAACAGTCTTTCTCTTCTTCAACTGGTGATGCCGCCTGCCCCTTCTTCCAGCCACCAAACTTCCCGACAGGATTTGGCGATCTAAAGAACCTGATGAACCGCGGTCATTCCCTCATGTCCCAAATGTCTACTGATTCCATGGCATCAACTTTGTCTGGAAGGTCTGGATTCACTGATATGTCCAATTTCTCTCAGTTCAGTGATACTTCTTCACAATATTCTGGCATGACAAATCTAAGCAATATGTCCAATTTTTCTGATATGTCCTCCATGTCACAGAACCCGAATGTCACAAACACAGGGAATATGCCTCAAGACTTTCAATCCCCACGAGTTGCTAAATCTTTCTCTTCATCATCTACTTCTTCTTTTAATAAATCTTCATTTTCGTCTAGCTTTGGCGATAGGAATTTCTAAACCGAGTTGTTTAGTGTTTATTGATTTCACTTCAGCGATTATGGCAGCCTTTCATCTTGGTTCATGCTCTGGTGTTGTTGCTTAGCATCCACGAATTTCTTATATACATTCATTGCTTTTGGGTCAAATTTAACAATTTGGAAATGCTGGTGCTATCATTGTGCCTTTTTGTTTCCTTCTGAAATTCATAATTACAGCCAAACATATATAAATTTGGGTATTAATTTGGCAATACAATGTACTGTTCGTATATTCAGGTGTCAGAAATGAAATTTGAAACATTATTTTATGTAGTTTAAATACAGTACAAAATTTTAAGGTTATTCTGTAGTTATCGTTTTCATTATGTCTTAGATATTGCAAGAATATTTGGAAGACAAGAATCCAGTATTATTCTGTAAGTTTGTACTCATTATGTTATAAGCTGAACTTTTATTAATTTTCATGACATCTGCTGTGAAAAACTACATTAAGTTTATTGTCATTAGTATTAAGAGTCATTAATATAAGTAATATATTATTTCGTTTTATACACCGAGTGAATTTTGAATAAAATATCCATTTACTCACAATTGATGTTTATATAACCTACAACATTAGCACCAAGTACCCGAGCATATACTCTGTGAATAATATACAGGGAATCAAGCTAAGAAGAAATTTCACACATTCATGATTTAATTTACCAGTTCTCAAAACAGTGAATGTTTAATTTAGTAATAAACAAATTTAATGAAAGTAGCAGCGAGAGTGAGAGGTACAGTAAAGTATTATGACTACTGGCCTCCTATGCTGACCTGTTCTGATATAATTTACCCTTACATGGCCTATCCTTTCAAAACCTATTCTGACCCCTCCTGGCCTCCTATACTCTCCTGTTCTGACTTAACCTAGCCTTATCTGACCGGTCCTGACCTAATCTTCCCTAACTTGACCTAACCCAACCCAAGGATTCTATAGTGTAGGAGGATGGCTCACTCCAATGGGCTGCTGTAAGTATCAAAGACTATACAGTTCAGTATATGGAAGATGGGAAAAAGACCCCCTTGACAATGAGTGAAGTTTCATTATTAGCGCAATAGATGGTGCCACTGGTCGACAGAACAATTTATGCTGTGCTTCTGTCAGCTACTTTCCTATCTTTCGTATACAGAATAACCTTTAGGTCTTTTTTCCAAGCATAAACCTAGTGCAGTTGGCGGGTAAAGGGAAGGAGACACATTTCGGTGAATGCAGTGTTTTTTATTGTCTTGTGCACATTATTTTACCGTGCAGCTATTAATGGTTGCAATAACACCAAGAGGAACAGAAACCCGTCTTTCTTCAGATTTGCAAAGGATCTAGAAAGATGAGTCATAAACGTACTCTGTCAATGTCGATTGTGCATTAGATTTTATGAGTTTTTTTAATGCCTTTCGTTAATATCAGAGTATCAATGGGGTATATAAAATGAGCAGGATACTGTTGTATTGTCGAAAATTTAAGAATGTAACTTTTTAGAATCGCCCACGACTTTTTGGACGATATTGATTTTCCTGTACATTTTGATGTGTTTTGATGAATTTCAGATTTATTTCTTGGAGAGACCAGGAAAGGTTAATTTATGTTGCTTTAATTAAATAAGTAAATGTCTAAATAAGTGAATAATGTACAAAGATGGGTGCTTGTAACGGGCAATTGAATACGGGGTCTGTTTCTCACTAACGACGGGGTTTTTTTTTTCACCGCTTATCAGTTTATAAACGTTAGAGTAGTTGGCCTATCCAATGTTCTTACAAGAGGAAACCAGATATGTTTGGTGGGGCCGCCCGCACTCACACTGGATAACACCCTTCCGATGTGTGTCCAAGCCAATAAGGACTCGAACCCATGACACAATGGTGACCTTGGTGGCCTCCCTCCCTCCCTCCCACTGATAACATCATTGACTCTAAGTTTCCAATCAGTCACTAATTCAATTACTTGTCTGGTAATTTTTAGAATCGTACAACCTATAGGATATGTCAGATCTTTTTGGTAACCTTTACGCTATGATAGATCTAAATGAACTTGAGATTTAAATTGAAATAATCTTAACTATATTTATTTTGTGTATGAAAGTGAACGGCCAGTGACATGTCTTCGTCAGTGGTAAGTGATATATATTGCTGGTCATAAGGTATTCGTGGGGAATTCGATTATACTTGATCATACTCTTAAATGGGTAATATATACATGTTTATAATGAAATGATATGTTCAGGTCTTGTATTGGTTTCTTGCACCTCCATGGAAAAAAAACTAACGCCCGTGCTTGTCAACAATGCGTGAGAGTGCCAGTACATGCCCACAGTGCCCACAGTGCCAACAGTGCTTAACAGAGACGTGACCGACCTCCCAAGCGGCTTACAGGCCGATCAGTGGCGGAGAGTATGAAATAAAATAAAATACATCGAATTAAAATAATTGCTGTTAACGTACAGACATAATAAAAAATAGAGGAGTTTACCCTTATAGAGTTCCATTTTCTGTATCGAAACAAAGAAAATGGTCGTAAATAAACAGTTAGGTGAATGAGTTTAAAGGCGGGACTTAAATGACTGAGTGAGGTTAAAGGGGTCACCGTAGTATTAAAGAACATCACTTTAATTAAATGGATAACAATAACAACAACATTAACTAAGGTCATTTGCGCGGGAAACGTGATAGAAGAAAAGTGTCTTAGAATTGTTTTAACTATTGATTCAGAGATAAAATTCTCGAGACTCAGGTAATAATAATAATAATAATAATAATAATAATAATAATAATAATAATAATAATATCATTTACTATATATAGAATGATTATCATGTATACATAGTTAATTCAGGGCAGAGGTATATTAAAGAAATTAACCGTAGCTATAGAAATTTTAACAAAAAGCTCACATAATAGAGCTTTAGTAAAATTTTGCAAAGTGAGTTTTGCGTTTCTGATTATTAATAAAAACAATAAGAATAAATGGAATTCAGAATTATTAGGAACCCTAGTATATTGGTTTGGTTGGGTTAAATTAGGTATATAAGGTTAGGTTAGCTTAAATTTGGTTTGGTTTGGTTAGGATAAGTTAGGTTTGGTCACAATTATTTATGTTGGATTTAGTAAGGCTACTGGGTTAGGTTAGGTTAGGATAAGTTAAGATTTTGTTAGGTTGTGTTAGGTTCCACTCCTGTTTCACAAGTGATGTGTTTCTGTTCCGTTATATCCATTTTTAGGCAAATAAAAACACTGTTATTATGCACATGCACAGTTTATTAGCTTGACAACATGCATAATTTATGTATACGCCTTAATATTATTTGTAAATAACAGTACTAATTGGAGGTAGAATGTTAGCCTATTTGTAATGTCTAATTTTTCACATATTAATCCCAGCTAGTTCATTTGGTTAGTTCTTGTAGTTTGTTTTATAAATGACATGCCAGAAGCTGTACATTCCTCCATACAAATGTTTGCAGATGACACCAAGTTATTTCTGGAAATTAAGATCCATGCAGATTGTGAAGAGCTGCAGAAGGATCTCTGTAAGCTTCAAGAATGGTCAAAGAAATGGCTGCTAAGATTCAATGTCACTAAGTATAAAAGGCTGCACCCGAGATGTACCAATGATAAGAAGGCGCATCATATGTCCCAAAGGGAAGAAGAAACTGCATTAATTGAGACTTAATGTGAAAAGGACCTAGGTGTGTATGTTGACAATGAGCTGAAGCTCTCGGGTCATTGTGAGAAGAAGGTGAATCAGGCAACTAAATTATTAGGTCTTATAAGAAGGTCGTTCAGATGTCTAGTCAGTCCGTCCCTCTTAACGATCTTCAAGAGAAGTGCTTCCCCATCTGGAGTACTGTCACCCCGTCTGGTCCCCAAGATATGCTAGGGACTGTCAGTTGGTTGAAAATGTCCAAAGGAGGGCCACCAGGCTGATGCCAGCACTTCTTCACCTCAGCTACCCAGAGAGATTAGAGCGCCTGCAATTGCCTACTACAGACGGGTAAGGGGGGATCTAATTGAGGTGTATAAACATCTCAAAGGGCACCACTCAGTCGAGTGTCCTTACCTGGAGTTGCGGAAGCTCGCCCCACAAGGGGTCACAGCTCAAGGTTGAAGAAGCCGCAAGTCCAGAAAACTGTGAGGGGTACCTTTTTTGGAGTGAGAGTTGTGAACACCTGGAACAATCTGCCAGTGTTGTGACGGCACCGAGTGTGAGCTCTTTCAAGACCAGACTTGACCAACACTGGGGCAGGTTCAGATACATTCAGTAGCCAGTACATGCCAAAAGTGCGTAACAGTGACGTGACCGATTGCCCAAGCAGTTAACGAACCGATCAGTGGTGAAGAGGATAAAAGTAAAAAAGTAATACAGTAAAAGTAAACTAGTGTTTTTCCTTGCTGCTCCACCATATTACTGTTCAATTCAATACAGGTATATATCAATAACTATCCCTTTAAAGATAAGAAATTGCGAGGGAGTTAAACTGAACATTTGCAATATTTAATTTTGTTCATAATCAGTATATATTGGATATCAAATTTTCCTTTTGTGTGAAAGAACTTGAAGAAATTTTACTTTTACTTTTATCCTCTTAGCCGCTGATCGGCTCGTTAACCGCCTGGATAGTCAGTCACGTCTCTGTTATGCACTGTTGGCATGTACAGTACTGACTACAGAACGTATCTTTACCTGTGCCAGTGATAGTCAAGTTTGGTCTTGAATGAGGTCACGCTCGGTGCCATCACAACACATGCCCAAACTATCTCAGCCTGCCTCTTTGTGGAACTTCACAAATACTCTCAATACCCAGCTGCCCTCTTGGCTCTGCACAGGGCCTCCTGTCTTTGAATGAGTGTCACAATACACATCCACCCAACCATTCTCATTTCAGCTTGCTCAAGTCTACTTATCTGTATATCATCCTCATTAACTGTCCATGCTTCACTCCCATAAAATATCACTCTTTTCACACCAGCCACATACAATACATTCTTCTTTTCACACTGAAGGAAGGTCCTCTTGCCATCAATAAAGGCAGCAGCTCCCTAAACTTTCTCCAGCTACTTCTGATTCTTGCAAATGAGCAGGCTTCAACACCCCCACCGGCACTAACCATGCCACCCAGGTAACAGAATTCATCAACACAGTCCATGGGCATATGCCATATGGTGAGTTTCTCCAGCCTTGCTGTGGGCACATAGTTGTCTACACATACAGAACACTTAGGTCAGCAACATCCTGCAATCTGCCATCTACCATCTACTCCACTACACCTCTTGTGTATTCACCTACACTTGTTGCACATTATTCAGTCATTGCCAACACCTTTTATCCAGACAGCACATGACCATTTTCCACCACAGGTCCCTTACCCACTTCACAAATCAATAATGTACAGTACAGTATTTATATTTTTGCCACATTACTTTCAGGCCTTTTGACTCTATTCCATCATTCATTTATCCACTGCTTCTCCAATATTATCTGCTATCAGCACTAAGTCATTAGCATACAACTCCCAGGGCAGGCCATTCCTGAAGTCCATTGATACTGCCTCCAGCAA